ATGGAAAGCTGAAAGAGCACACTGTAACACATGGCCACTTGGGCTTCGGGAGTTGCAGACATCACCCCCAAAGGCTGCCATGGGGCTGGAATCCAAAAGTACTTCCCATGGCCACTGCCCCTGTCCATCTGCATACTCCCCCTAAGGGTTTGAGCAGCGGAGCAACCGAAGGAGCAAGCCACATCCCTGCCGCACATCCTGCAAGAGAGATGAGGGAACTCTCCCATTTCACTGTAACATGAAGTATACACTGAGCAAGGTAGCTCATGCCTGTAATCCCAGCATTTGGGGAGGCCAAGGCCGGACAATCACTTGAGGCCAGGAATTCAAGACCAGCCAGGGCAACATAGCAAGACCCCATCTCTAAAAAACTTGAAAAATTAGCTGAGCATGGTGGTGCACACCTACTACTCTGCTACTCAGGAGGCTGAAGTAGGGGAATCATTAGAGCCCAGGAGTTTGAAGTTAGTGAGCTATGATTGTGCCACTGAGCACTTCAGCCTGGATGACAATGAGACCCTGTCTCTAAACAAACAAACAAACAAAAAAGTCACACATTTAGCATAGGATAAAAAATATTTAAAGAAATCACACTACACTAGAGAGGAAGGAGGTAGATTTTTTAAAAAGAGCAAAGAAATCACACTAAGTGTGACTTAAAAGACCGAAATGTGGAAATAACCTGTTCCAACTGGACTTCAACAAGGAATTCAGCTTATTAGTTGACAAACTGTTTATACTTCTGTTTGGTTGATAGCATGGGGTGAATTTTAAGTATGCAAAACAATCTGACCTCAAGTGACATCAGATAGGAGCAGAGAAACTGCCAATATCCATACAACTAGATGGCTGTTATATACACTGGGTATCAAAATTAAGATGTTCACTGACTGGGCACGGTGGCTCAAGTCTGTAATCCCAGCACTTTGGGAGGCCTAGGCGGGCAGATCACGAGGTCAGGAGTTCGAGACCAGCCTGGTTAACATGGTGAAACCCCATGTCTACTAAAAATACAAAAATTAGCTGGGCATGATGCATGCACCTGTAATCCCAGCTACTCAGGAGGCTGAGGCAGGAGAATTGCTTGAACCCACGAGGTGGAGGTTGCAGTGAGCTGAGATCATGCCATTGCACTCTAGCCTAGGCAACAAGAGTGAAATTCCATCTCAAATTAAAAAAAAAAAGGTCCACATTCGGTCTTTCTTTTTAAATGTTCAGTTAAACACTAAAGAGTTTCAGAAATATATCAACCTGGCTGATATATCAACCCCTAACTGATCTTATCTAAAAATAAAAAGCCAAGTCAGTTGTCTACAATGAAGTCTGTATATTTCCTCCAAGTTATAACTACTTTTTTACTTAGGGTCTTATTTTCAAATGTTTGGGTCACAAAGCTTAGAAAGTGATTCACCAAGCCTGGCATGGTGGCTCATACCTGTAATATTAGCACTTTGGAATGCCAAGGCAAGCAGATTGCCTGAGCTCAGGAGTTCAAGACAAGCCTGGCCAATATGGTAAAACCCCATCTCTACTAAAATATAAAAAATTAGCTGGGCGTGGTGGTGCACACATATAGTCCCAGCTACTTGGGAGGCTGAGGCATAAGAGTATCTTGAACCCAGGAGGCGGAGGCTGCAGTGAGCTGAGATCGCACCACTGTAATGCAGCCTGGGCAACAGAGCAAGACTGTACCTCAAAAAAAAAAGAAAAAAGAAAGTGATTTGCCCAGTTTTTCAGTGGACTCTAGAAAATACATGATGCAAATCATCTCCATCTCAGGAAAGGTCTGTTTGTTTTCTATTTAGGCTCATCCATCATACCACTAGACTTCTCAGTTAGCACCTAAACTTGAGAGAGAGACTCAGTTTCATCTTATATTCATCTTATGTCAATTACTTCATTTGGTTTCAGATGACCTCCAATAAACATGTCTTAGGAATGTATCTGCCCCCTTAATCCATGTCACCCATGAAGGAATTGGCTATTCATTCTAGGAGCTAATCCTAAACTCGACTTAGTCTCTGTTTAACTTCAAGTTCAAAGAGACAAAAGGAGTATCTGAATCAATATCTTCATTTTTATAAATGATTCCACAGAGATAGCATGTACTGTCTAGGGTAATATACCTAATTAGTGGCAGATATCATAACAGAGGTCTTTCACCTATCAAATGAATTTGACTCAATTTAAATCACCCCAAAGGTCACCAAATCCACAAGTGACTTAAGGAATGAATTAACAGAAAATGTTTTTTTCTATTTTGGAACGTTAGCTAGCTGAGGAGTGAATTGGAACTGGCACTGTCTCCTTCCCATGCTGCTGATCACACTTCAATCCACGGCTCCTCCACAAGCTATGGACATGATTTTTGCAACAATAAGGCATGTGAAGAAATTCCAGACACTCATGCCACTGACTACACAGACTTTACGTAAGAGCCATCAAGTTTGGGAATGATTTGGCAATTACAAACTGCCTTCTGATATTACTAGCTAAGTTTCTTACAATGCATTTATCTCACCACTGCCAAACTCAGTTTCCTAATCCAACAAATGGATATTATGTTTCACATAGACTCAAACTGGACAGATTTCTCAAGGTGCTGTGTGGTTTTATGGATTTAGAGTTAAACCAGTCTTTCTCAACAGGGCACTATGACATTTTGAGAAGATTTCTTGGATGAGTAGGATTATCCACTACACCACAGAAGGTTTAGTATCACTGGTCCTTTATCCTCTAAATGCAAGTAGTCTGACCAGTCACAATCCTCCTACACACACTTCCAAATGACCTCAAGACAGAAGACCACCACCACCAGTATTAACCTTAGAGTCGACCATTAAGTAAACTATAAAATAATGTTTACGTAAAGCTCTAATCCCTTTTCCCTGCCACTAAAATACTGCTCTCTATTCCTCTTTTTAACCCAGAGATAATGCTTTGTTCACTAACTCCATAAAACCAACTTTTTCAGATAAAAAAAATAAATAAATAAAATAAAAATAACTTTGTCTGAACTAGTTATCTAATTAAGACACTTATATGGACAAGGAAGTAATGTGGAAAAGTTACTGAAATAAAATCAGGATATGAGTTTGAATCCAAGTTTTCCGGCTATTCAAACTTAGGCAAGTTATTTCTCCTCATTGGGCCTTAGTTTTCCCAACTATTAAAAAGTATTTTGTGGCTGGGTGCAGTGGCTCATGCCTGTGATCCCAGCACTTTCACAGGCTATGATGGGAGGATCACTTGAGGACAGGCATTCAAGACCAGCCTGGGGAACATAGCAAGACCTCTGTCTCTATTTAAAATTTTTTTAATTAATCTTTTAAAATAAAATAAAATGTGTTACGCTAAATTATCTCTCTGGTTTATTACAATTCTAGGAATCTGTGAAGTAAAACATAAGCGACTTGTTTTACACTTTTCTTTTGACCTCCACATAGCTAAGTGAGGGTGATCACTAACAAGCAACACTATGTAATCTCTCAGAAGCCCTGATCCTAAGCCCCAAGGATAACAGAACAATCACATCCAGCCAGATCGCATATGGATTTTATTAGAGAGTCAGTATATTTAGCATATAAAACAGAGCTGAATTATTTTATAACCCATTAATAATGAGGTACCAAGATAATAACAGCAGCAACAGTCACCTTTATTTAGGGTACACCTATAATCTGAATGCTGCTTGTGCATTACAATCACCTGCATACCTTAAAAAAATAAATAAATAAAAGCCCCCAGTTCCACGCCAAACCAGTATCAAATGATTTGAAATCTCTGGGGATGGGGCGTATCTCCCAAGTCTCCCCCAGGTGATTCTGATAAACAGGCAGAACCAAGAACCACTAATCCAGAACCCTTTAATCCAAGAACTGCAAAGCAAATGACCACAGGTTATTATCTCATACGCTAGTTATTTAAATAAATATGAATAAATAAAAACAATCTAGTGTTACTATTTACTGACATTCACAGTTACAGAGAACTGTGTTTCTAGAGAAAAAGGAGAGCTCTATTAACAAACCCTTTATTGGGAACTGGCCTTGCTAGAAACAGAATATAACTTTCTGACAATCTGATGAATCAGTTCAAAAAAACTTTCTACAGCCAAGTGCAGTGGCTCATGTCTGTAATCCCAGCACTTTGGGAGGCCAAGGAGGGCAGATCACAAGCTCAGGAGTTTGAGACTATCCTGAGCAACATGGTGAAACCCTGTCTCCACTAAAAATACAAAAATTAGCCAGGCATGGTGAAGAGCACCTGTAATCCCAGCTACTCAGGAGGCTGAGGCAGAAGAATTGCTTGAACCCGTGAGGGGGAGGTTGAGGTGAGCCAAGATTACACCACTGAACATCAGCCTGAGCAAAAGGAGGAGACTCCATCTCAAAAAAAAACAAAAACAAAAACAAAAAAACTTGCTACAAAGTTGACTACCCCTGGAGAATTCCTGTCAATCATCAAGATAGTTAAAACAATGTTAGTTAAAGTAGTACAAAGACTGAAATTCCTCAACCTAACTCTTACTTACTAGATCTCACTAAAAGACTTAGTAGGTAGAAGTGGCTGGGTGTGGTGGTTCACGTCTGTAATCCAAGGCGGGCAGATCACTTGAGGTCAGGAATTCAAGACCACCCTGGCCAATATGGTGAAACCCTGTGTCTACCAAAAAATACAAAAAATTAGCTAGGTGCAATGGTGTGCACCTACAGTCCCAGCTACTTAGGAGGCAGAATCTCTTGACCTGGGAGATGGAGGTTGCAGTGAGGCAAGATTGCACCAGAGAAAAAAAAAAGATCTAACAGGACATAAAAAATTGGAGGGGAACATACATGATTTCTGAAAAATACATTATTTCTGACTTCCTCAAGAAAGCTTTGAGTCCAGTGACATAGGAAAAGGCAAAGCAGTCTTGGCTGAAATTATATTTGCTCTTTTCAGAACATAATCAGCAAAATAACAAGACAGATTAAATAAGTAGACCATTAAACTCTTACCTTATGTGCAAGGCCAAGCCATCCTGTAGGCTAGAGATCCCCAAATCAGAGAGTGTATCTGAGCCAACAGAAGCAGGTGACAAAGAGCCCTCCTTCTCCTCCAGTAGGTCCAGCTTCACCAGGTTACTGATCTCATCCTCTGAGTTATCTTCGGACACAGAACCAATTATGAATCGAGAGTGCTGGTTCAGTTCCAGAGGTTTGGCCAAGGGAGATGATTCATCCATTATTCCTCCAAAATGAGCTCTTAGAGCTATGGAGAAAATGAAAAGTGAGAAAAGCAGGTTATGAATAATAATCTATATCTGAGGTCAGCCAGAGGTTATATCTAATAAACCACAGCTGAGACTTGGAAGCAAGGCAGTTTGAGAACTTCCTTGGCTATTCTATTTCAGGACCTTTAATTTCTAAGGGAGGAAAATTGAGATCATGATAACTATGCCTATAAATTAAAACTAGTTCCCTTTTCCTCAAAGAAATTTTTCTCAAAAAACTGTAAGCCATTCCTAACCTCATTATCATTTGGCCATGTCCAAGAGATAATTATGATTAATGGGGAAAACCTTCGAAGTAGGCAAAAGCTGCTTGTTGTGATACTGCTATTTTGGTTGTTAGTGGTGAGGGAATGAATGGTAAGGGTTTGGGCAGAGTGATGGTTGTTTGAAATGGTATTTAAACTACGTAATGATCATCTGGTTTCAAACACTGCATATTGAGGCTGCAGTGTGCTGTGATAGCACCACTGCACTCCAGCCTGGGTCACAGACCAGGACTCTGAGTCAAAAAAAAGAAAACAAAGAAAAAAAAAAAAGGAAAGACAACTATAGACATTTCCCTTTTTTTTTTTTTTTTCTTTTCTTAAAAGTCAGGGTCTTGCTCTGTTGCTCAGGCTAGAGTGCAGTGGCAAGATCCTAGCTCACTGCAATCACAAACTCCTGGGCTCAAACAGTCCTCCCACCTCAGCTTCCCAAATAGCTGGGACTACAGGCATGCACTACAACGGCTGGCTACTTGTTTTTTTGTACAGAGTCAAAACATATTGATGTTGCCTAGTTTCAAACTCCTAAACTCAAGTGATCCTCCCACCTTGGCCTCCCAAAGGGCTGGGATTACAGGTGTGAGCCAATGAGCCCAGACTAACATTTCCTGAAAGTGAATTGGAGATTACTTCAGCTGTTATCTTTAAAACTAGAATCAAATATAAAAATAACATGCAACAGAAAAAGTCTGATGTCCAAATTTACTATATATTTCTCCCTTGAAGTATTAGGTCTTTAAAAAAAAAAACAAAAAAAAACTCCAGGCTGGGCACAATGGCTCACACCTGTAATCCCAGCACTTTGTCGGGGAGGGGATCATTTGAGGTCAGAAGCTGAAGATCAGCCTGGCCAACATGATGAAATCTCATCTCTACTAAAAATACAGGCCAGGCCCAGTGGCTCACGCCTGCAATCCCAGCACTTTGGGAGGCTGAGGTAGGTGGATCACCTGAGGTCAGGAGTTTGCGATCAGCCTGGCTAACATGGCAAAACCCCATCTCTACTAAAAATACAAAAATTAACCAGGCATTGTGGCGTGTGCCTGTAATCCCAGCTATATGGGAGGCTGAAGCAGGAGAATCACTTGAACCTGGGAGGTGGAGGTTGCAGTGAGCCAAGATTGCACCACTGCACTCCAGCCTGAGTGACAGAGTGAGACACTGTCTCAAAAAAAAAAATCTTTAAAAGGCTTCCATTATTTTTGGCCAGGCACAGTGGCTCACGCCTGTAATTCTAGCACTTTGGGAGTCTGAGGAGGGTGGATCACCTGAGATCAGAAGTTCAAGACCATCCTAGCCAATATGGTGAAACCCCATCTTTACTAAAAATAGACAAAATTGGGCCGGGTGCAATGGCTCACGCCTGTAATCCCAGCACTTTGGGAGGCTGAGGCGGGTGGATCCCGAGGTCAAGAGATCGAGACCATCCTGGTCAACACGGTGAAACCCCATCTCTACTAAAAATACAAAAAATTAGCTGGGCATGGTGGCATGTACCTGTAATCCCAGCTACTCAGGAGGCTGAGGCAGGAGAATTGCCTGAACCCAGGAGGCGGAGGTTGCGGTGAGCCAAGATCGCGCCATTGCACTCCAGCCTGGGTAACAAGAGCGAAACTCCGTCTCAAAAAAAAAAAACACAAAATTAGCTGGGCATGGTGGCACCTATAATCCCAGCTACTTGGGAGGCTGAGGCATGAGAATCGCTTGAACCCAGGAGGCAGAGGTTGCAGTGAGCCAAGATCACGCCACTACACTATAGCCTGGGTGACAGACACTCCCTCCATCTCAAAAAAAGAAAAAGAAAAAGAAAAGAAAAAAAGGCAGAGGGGGGGAAAAAGGGGAAATGGGAAGGAAAAAGGAAGAAAGGGAGAGGGAGAGGAAAGTTCCAACAGACTGACCACATTGAAGAACAACAAAAGTTACAGCAGCAAAAAGCCTATTTCTTTCACATTTACAGCAGTAAATAGTTAACTTTAAAAATAACAGTAGATCCAAAAAAATAAAATTCCATCACAACTAACACAGAAAATAATGGGTGCCTTCTTCACAAGTAAGCCAGGCACTCAGGTGCAGATTCTTGCTTGCAGATTGAAGTTAGGTGACCACACACAAAACAGAAAATCCACAAAAAAGGCACAATTCTTTGATTCCATGGGAGAAGAAAGAGTTAATAAAACATAGTTCCTGCGCTAATAAGTGACAGTCTTAATAAGGCCAACTTCAAGTTCCTAGCTAAGAAGATCATTAAGGCAGCCTTCTCTAAACAGTTACATAGATTGGAGGCAACTCAGTGTAAACAGCTAAAAATCCTGTCCAACCGCACTGAATAGTGTTTCCCAGGTACAAGCTTACAAACCAACAGAAAAGAGAAGTCAAGTATGGAAAATCACTGAGTAGCTGTCCAGACACTCTAGAAGCTACTCCACAGCCTGTCCCATTTCCACTGATTCTAGTCCTGAATTGAAGAGAGAACATAGTCGAACACTACCATCGTTGGACTCCTTGTTCACTTCAGGTTATCCACCCTAAATCTGCCTATGTTCTTTTGTGGAAGTCAACTTTTAACACAAAAGCCTACAGTTTGATATTTTACAACACGAACTAAATTTTTATCACACTGTAAACAAGAAGGAGTATTATTTGTAACTGACCTCTTATAATTCTTACTGTCTGAGCAGATATCCACCTCCAAAAAGAACTAAAGAGAGAAAAAGAGAGATGTGAAGTTTTTTTTAATAAACCAATTTTTGTCAATTCCTATTTTGCTCAGCATAATACAAAGGTAATAATATACAAAGTATCTTTTTTTGGGTCAAATCTATTATTTAACTTAAAGCACAATTTTTAGCAGTTTGTTATTCAATTCTGTAACTCAAACACATTAAAGACTTTATTGTTTATGAAAATATTAAACAATAGAAAAAGCTTACCATTTCACAAAGTGGCTTTTCCATTTGTATACTCGATGAATCCATTTCAACATTTTCATTTCTAATATTTCATCAAAAAAGAGGCAGTGGGGAGAAAAGAACCACCAGATTCTCTACAATGCACGTAAGCTCTGATTATGCTTCCAAGCGGTTACACTTACCCACAAAAGTTGGGAGCCAGGGGAAAGACAGAGCTCCCATTATACTAACTCCCTAAACTGTAAGGGATCTAGCAACTCTCAAAATCCTGGGTTTGCTTCTTAAGGCCGACAATTTAAATGTATCTAGGATAGAAATTCTCAAGTCTGATTGTTTATGAATCACCTGCGGAGCTTTTAAAAATTTTACAAAGTCTAAACTCCACCCTCTATCTGCTGAATCAGAATTGCAGCTGGAGGTCCAGGGATGCCAACTTTAAGTTCCACAGTTAATGGACACTGATGCAAATACAGGCTTGAGAACCACTGATCTGGGAGAGAGAAGAAAACAAAAGGAAAGAACCTATTACACTGATAAGGAAATCTAAAACTTTCAAGAGAGGACCCCTAAATGACAAGGGACAAGATTTAGGATATTAGGATTTATCCAGTTATGGAGTCTGAGATAGTATCATTTCCTACAATTGAGAAGAGGAAGGAAAAAGTTTGGATCATGTAACCAAAGATGCAGTGAAGCTGGAGTTAAAACCTAGGACCTACTGGGCTCAAACCCTAACTCTACCGCGTATTGTAAGTGACTGCAGATTTGAACAGGTCACTTAATGTCTCTGTATATTTTACAGACAAGCCTCTTCATCTGTAAAAATAAAGTCTTCCGGTCAGTGGTGTGCACCTATAGTACCAGCTACTTGGGAGGCTGAGGCTCAGGTTTGCTAGAGTTCAGGAGTTAAAGGCTGCAGCGTGCTATGATCACACCTGTGAAAACCCATTGCACTCCAGCCTGGGCAAATAATGGGACCCCATCTCGAAAATTAATTAATTAATTAATTAAGTTTAAAGAAGATCATATGACTGCTTTGAAAACTAAGAATATACGAAAGGATTCTGTAAACTATAATGCAATAGGCCAGTGTTTTTCAAAGTATGGGTTACCACCCAGCAAAACATTAAGAAATCAACTTAGCAAGTTATAACCAATATTTTGAAAATGAAATAACATAGAAAATATAAAAATATATCATAGTTTATGAGGGTATCTATAGTTTTGTAAATTTTTGTTTCAGCTATATATAGGTCATGATGTAAATGACATTTATGAGTTGTGTCATAAAAGTCTTAAATCAACCAGATGTGATTGACTCACACCCAGCACTTTGGGAGGCTGAGATGGGCAGATCACCTGTGATCAGAGTTCAAGACCAGCTGGGGCAACATGGTGAAACCCCCTCTCTACTAAAAATACAAAAATTAGCTGGGCATGGTGGTGCAGGCCTGTAATCCCAGCTACTCAGGAGGCTGAAGCAGGAGAATCAGTTGAATCTGAGGAGCGGAGGGTGCAGTGAGCCGAGATCACACCACTGCACTGCAGCCTGGGAGGCAGAGTGAGACTCTGCCTCAAAAAAAAAGGCCAAAATGTTGGGCATGGTGGCTCATGCCTGTAATCCCAGCACTTTGGGAGGCCGAAGCAGGCAGATCACCAGGTCAGGAGTTCAAGACCAGGCAAACCAACATGGTGAAACTCTGTCTCCACTAAAAATACAAAAATTAGCTGGGCATGGTGGCACACACCTGTAATCCCAGCTACTCAGGAGGCTGAGACAGAATTGCTTGAACCTGGAAGACTCTGTCTCAAAAAAAACAAAAAGTCTTAAAGCCACAACTAGTCCTTACTCCTTCACCCCTTTATGCCTTCATCCACTTTATGCCTTCACTAGATAGCAAAGACAGCTAATTAAGTACATAAACCAATGATTCTTAAAACTGTCTCAACTGTTGGAAATTTGATAAAAGCTATGGACCTTTCTAGACAAAAATGTACCCTCATACAAAATTTTCCTTGCATACAGGTTTGGGATTCCTAAACTTCTGCCCTGAATTAGGTTAAGAACTCTTTCTAGGCCAGTCATGGTGGCTCACTCTGTAATCCCAGCACTTTGGAGGCTGAGGCGGGTGGATCACAAGGTCAAGAGATCGAGACCATCCTGGTCAACAAGGTGAAACCCCATCTCTACTAAAAATATAAAAATTAGCTGGGCATGGTGGTGCGCACCTGTAGTCCCAGCTACTCGGGAGGCTGAGGCAGGAGAATTGCTTGAACCCAGAAGGCGGAGGTTGTGGTGAGCCGAGATCGTGCCATTGCACTCCAGTCTGGGTAACAACAGCGAAACTCCATCTCAAAAAAAAAAAAAAAAAGACCTCTTTCTCTCTCCAGAAAGAGGACTAAAAAAGAAGCTGACCTTTGGGGAAGGTTCACATAATTGCTGTCTTAGCTCTAAAACAAGGCCTTTTTCCAGATCTAGTCTGCCTACTCAAAAATTATTTTCTTCATTATATCAAATTGTCAACAATGCCAAATTCTCTTTTATTTAAAAAATCTATCATATAGGCCTTGCACAGTGGCTCATGCCTGTAATCCCAAAACTTAGGGAGGCCGAGGCAGCTGGAACATGCAGTCAAGAGCTCAAGACCATCCTGGCCAACATGATGAAACCCCATCTCTACTAAAAATACAAAAATTAGCTGAGTGTGGTGGCATGTACCTGTAGTCTCAGCTACTTGGGAGGCTGAGAGGCAGGAGAATCACTTGAACCTGAGAGGCACAGCGTGACACTGTGCTTCAGCCTGGGTCACAGACCGACACTCTATAATATATATATATATAATAATATATATTTTTTACATAAATATATATTATTTATATATATGAGACAGATTTGAGTCTCAAATATATATAAATATGTATAAAATATATATTTATATAGAGAGAAATAATAAATGTATAATATACATATATACATATATATATATATATATATATAAAAAAAATGTGGCCAGATGCAGTGGCTCATGCCTGTAATCCCAGCACTTTGGGAGGAGATCACTTGATGGGCAGATCACTTGATGTTAGAAGTTTGAGACCAGCCTGGCCAACATGATGAAACCCCATCTCTACTAAAAACACAAAAATTAGCCAGGTATGGTGGCAGGCATCTGTAATCACAACCACTCCGGAGGCTGAGGAAGGAGAATGGCTTGAATCCAGGAGGTGGAAGTTGCAGTGAGCCGAGAATACACTACTGCACTGCAGACTGTGGACAAAGTAAGACTCTGTCTCATAAAAATAAATACACATACACACACACACACACACACCCCTCTTGAAAATTTTTGTGGAATACTCCCAAACTGTGCCCTATGTTCCTGAAAATGGGGTAAAGCTAATTACAGCAAATGTATTTAAGAGTCAGCCTGGGCCATGCTCAATGTCTGTAATCCCAGCACTTTGGGAAGCTGAGGTGAGTGGGTCACCTGAGGTCAGGAGTTTGAGACCAGCCTGGCCAACCTGGTGAAACCCTGTCTCTACTAAACAAAAAATTACCCAGGTGTGGTGGTGGATGCCTGTAATCCCTGCTACTCAGAAGGCTGACGCAGGAGACTCACTTGAGCCTGGGAGGTGGAGATTGCAGTGAGCCGAGATTGTGCCACTGCACTCCAGCCTGGGCAACAAGAACTAAGCTCCATCTCAAACAAACAAACAAAAAAGAAGTCAGCTTGGGTCAGGAGTGGTGGCTCATGCCTATAATCTCAGGCATTTGGGAGACTGAGGTGGGAGGATCCCTTGAGCCCAGGAGTTCAAGACCGGCCTGGGCAACATGACAAAAACCCATCTCTATAAAAAATAAATAAATAAGCTGGATGTGGTAGAACATGCCCGTGGTCCCAGCTACTTGGAAGGCTGAAGTGGGAGGATCACTTGAGCCCAGGAGGTTGATGCTGCAGTGCCATTGCACTCCAGCCTGGCCAATAGAACGAGACCCTGTCTCAAAAAACAAAACAAAACAAAAATGTCAGCCTGAGAGATATTTATTTTCTCTTCTTTTTTATTTTTTAGACAGAGTCTCAATCTGTCACCACCCAGCCTAGATGGAGTGGCGTGATCTTGGCTCACTGCAACCTCCACTTCCCAGGTTCAAGTGATTCTCCTGCCTCAGCCTCCTGAATAGCTGGGATTATAGGTATGTGCCACCACACCTGGCTGATTTTTGTATTTTTAGTTTTACCATGTTGACCAGGCTGGTCTCAAACTCCTGACCTCAGGTGATCTGCCCACCTCAGCCTCCCAAAGTGCTGGGATTACAGAAGTGAGCCACTGTACTCGGCCCAGAGATATTTTTCTAAATAAATACAACAGGTTTTACCAAATTTAACATAGTCTCTCTTGAACTCAAATTACAGTGTATTTTCCATGCAATTCTAATAAAGAGGTAGCGATTAGTTTTTGTAGCCACTGATAAAAGTATCCATGCTTATACAACATGTCCTTGCCTCTCAAGTCACAGTAAGTTCACTTAAATGTTTTATTTTCTTCCCCCTCCCCCCCCCGAATTTTACAACCACACTTGAATGTTTTCAAAGAGAATAAGTGAATTTGCCTTTTAATTTTGTCATTTGTTGATGAATTTTTCAATGGATTTTGGTTATTAATTCAGTGATTAATAATTCAGTGATTAATAATAAAATTCTCAGATTACAGAGAATTTTACTCTAAAAACTATTTTAGTTTGTCACAAGTTTTAAATTTTAAAATAAGAACTTGTGTTCCAAATAGT